ATTTAGTCATCAAGAAGCTCAAAGCATATGGGTTCACTAATCAATCATTGGATCTTATAAATTCGATCGTTTCTGAATGACAGATACAGTCGCGTAAAACTAGGCAGTATTAGAAGTGGATGGTCTAAAATGTCTCGTGGTTGTCCTCAGGGATCTTCATTTGGTCCATTATTATGGAACTTATTCCACAATGACATGACCATGTTGGTTAAAGACACAAACCTTTTCATGTATGCTGACGACCATCAGCTATATGTAACAGGGTCGGACTACAACATCGCACCTTCCAGGCTACAATATCAAGGAAAGTTAGCCATGTCATGGTACAGGGATAACTTTCTACTTGCCAACACAGAGAAGTTTCAATGTCTTACTATATCAATCCAAGAAACATTGACTCAGATAAACAGACTGAGGCCCTGCAGATTGAAGATCAGATCACTGCCAACACTTCGCAAATCAAATTATTTGGAGTTGAAATAGATGACAAGCTTAATTTCACCAGCCATATCAGTAACATTTGCATAAAAGCCAGTCAAAACGTCGGTGTCTTATTGAGACTGCGAAATTTGATACCATGCAAAGCAAAACTGATAATCTACAAATCATCCATGCTGCCTCACTTAACATATTGCCATCTGGTATGGCATAACTGTAGATCTTCTGACAGTAAAAAAATAGAGCTGATTCAAGAACGCGCACTTAGAGCAGTATTTAACTCCCATTCAGAGTCATACGAAAACCTTCTGGCTCGTGCAGAGCTACCTTCACTACTAAATCGAAGACTACAAGATATCGCTATATTAATGTACAAAGTAAAATATGGCCTCGCACCGATTATTGTTTACGAACTACTTTAGCGGAAAAGCACTAGTTATTCACTTAGAAACAGTGATTTTGATATTCCGACTTTTACCACTATTAACTATGGAAGGTATTCTCTTAGATATCAAGGACCTCATATATGGTCGAAACTAGATATTAAATTGAAAGGCTCCTCGAATGTTGAATCTTTCAAAAAGAACATTAGGAAAAAAGACCTAACGTCACTCTTAAACAACAACAATAGCTGCTGTAACCTCTGCAATTCTTAGAGACTACCTTTTATATACCTATTGTTTTTTAATACAATTAAAACATGCAACATATTTTAATTGTATATACATCATAATTATTATTATTTCTTATTTGTGAATAATTTTTATTTTTGTGTCCCCAATTAGTTGTGAAAACTAAATACATTGACACATTAATAAAGCTTTTACTTACTTTACTTACTTACTTACCTACCTACCTACCTACCTACCTACTCACTCACTCACTCACTCACTCACTCACTCACTCACTCACTCACTCACTCACTCACCCACCCACCCACCCACCCACCCACCCGTTTGGAAGGTAGGTGGTTAGGTTACCTGCTTCCTGGTCTCTCCACCGTCGTCAACGCCGTGTTGCTATAACAGACAGCCTGTTTAACTTAATCATGTTTGCAGATCAATTATATTCCATTTCCGAGTTGTTTGTTTATTTGTGTTTCGAGAGCAGAAGGAGGAATACCTCATGCTTTCTTTTAACGAGAAGTCAGCCGCAATTTGATTTAAATACTCTAAGACAGAAATCGGATTTCCCAATGGTGACCAACATCAATTTTCTCCCAACAATATCCATACCTTGTCAAGAGATAAGGTTATGAGAATATATGAAATGATCACTTAACAGAAAATGCTTTGATCTGCTATCAAATTCTTCCAACTAATTCTTAAAGGAAATGTATGGAGAACAGTTTGGAGAATTTGTATGTGGATATTGGGGCTTTAAAAAGGGTTAAATATCATGATTCCAAATTTCAACTTAGCGGGAGTCCAAAAGGGTCACATATTGGCCAGTTCTAAGCTTGTCACTCTCTTTATTCTACTTCAATTAATGTTAAGACATACAGTGTAGAAAATGAGTCAAACACATTCTTGCGAGGGCTTCACTTGGTTAGCTTTTTTTAAAAACTTCTTCTTTATGACTGCCTCGTTTGAAAAAGGCATAAGCCAGCGGCTTAATGGCCGAGTTTAAAACCAAGACAGGGATTTTATAGTTTTCATCATTATATCGTGATGAGGATAGTGTTAGAAAACTACAACGCAGGTACATTCCGTAGCAAACAAGAAACACTCTTATTACAAGGCCCATCATTATTACTGCAGACCTCTCGTGATGGATTTTAGAGGACATCTGATGGTTAAAACGTAACTGTTTTGCTTAAAACCAAGAAAGGAATTTTATAGTTTTCATCGTTACATCGTGATGAAGATAGTGTTAGAAAACTACTAACAACGCAGGTACATTTCATGATAGCAAACAAGGAACACTCTTATTACAAGACCCATCATTATTACTGCAGACCGCTCGTGAAGAGTTTCAAAAGACGCCCGATGGTCCAGTGGTTAAAACGTAACTGTTTTGCTATTAGGTGCGTCATGCTGACCGATCATGCTTGCCTACATGTAAAATCATTGATACAAAACTGGTTATAATCAGAGCACATGGGAGGATCTCAAGTGAAATTACATACAGCCAGTTAAAAGGAGCAGTGACAAGACTCCTTTTTAAACTAAAACGAAATGAAAACCGAAACACCACAAAACCAAATGTTATAGTCCAAAAGAAGAAAATAGCTTGGATAATTCGACGACGAGTCATAAATTAAAGCAATGCACTTTAGAGGATAGACGATGGCAATCAAACGATCTAGTTCTAAACTCTATAAGTTTCCAACCGAAGTGTTCCTATAGAAGCCACCTTATAAAACTCACCCAAGGTAGCAAATGTTGAGGCAAGTAGCAGGCGTTTTTGCTGTAATGTCGCAGAAAAATAGAGAAGGAGTTACGCTCAACTACAACACAGAAATCTACCACGGCGAGGGAAAGAATAATCGCGTTGGTTTTGGTGCGGAGATTTCGTCTGCTGCAAATGAGCCGAGGAAGATTGTCAATTTATTTCCAGTGATGGTCAGTAATGAAAGAAACCAGCCGAGAATCCAAAACCAGGTCTCCATCCGTAGTAACAGTTGAAGGAAGTTATTATCAACTATACATTATAAACTAGTAATAACTAAAGGTTACTGAGTGCGGGCGGCAAGGATCGAAAGTTAAAACGCTTTTTATCCATCACTGTGCTTAAGTGTGCTTTACGTGCGTTTCACGTGAGAGATAGTCAAAACACGCGTGATCAGATTACGAGTGATAGAAGATCCAAACACGCGTGATCAAATTGCCTTCTGTATATTCCATTCATTCTTTGTGGAAGTCCAAACGAATGCTGGCTACATACATGTGACGCATGCGAAATAACTAGTAACTAGTAATAACGAAAGCTTAGGGAGTGCGGGCGACAACGATCGAAGGTCAAAACGCTTTTGTTCGATCGCTGTGCTTTGCGTACGTTTCACGTGACATATGATCAAAACACGCGTGATCAGATTAAGAGGGGCAGAAGGTCGAGACGCGTGTGATCAAATTGCGTTCTGTGCATTCCCTTCATTCTTACTGGAAGTCCAAAATAATGCTGGCTACATACATGCGACGCAAGCGAAATAACAACCTGGAGATTAGGATTGCGGGCTCCTCTTGTCGCCCGCAATAACGCTTTTGCGTAAAAAGCAGGGTCACATTTATCAAATTGACATATTCCTAAGTTAGCAAGAGCTAGAGAAAATGTGGACCGTCACGTGGCAATAGCGCTAAAACATCCGTCAGTCAAACGGGACAAAGTCAGTCACGTGAGTTATCCCTTTACTGCAATTTATTGTCAGCTTGGTTCACTAAATAATTGCGAGATCATTTCATTTTTATTTGCGAAAGTTCTTTATTAGAAACTGAGACAGGTGTTACAAATTACGGCAAAAGCTAGACAGCAGTTTATTCACCGGAAGAAGTTTTTTCGTTTTCGCTATCCAATCAAAAGCGAGTAGGTAAAATTGCATGACTGTCGAAAAAAATACATATATATGAGATGCTACAAGAAGTTAAACTCAAAGTAAAGAAACAGCTTGGAGACTTGTTTGCTAAAGAAAACGATGGCCTTTCTCGTCATGAGAAATAAACTGGTACTCACACCTGTATGGTCGATACAGATCGTACTAAAGTTCTTAAACATTTCATTTAGGCTAAGCTAAATTGATCGGAATAATTTGCATTTGGAAGATAAATAAACTACTACTTAATTCACATGCTCAAAAATGATCCTACTCGATTCTCGATTCATGCAGAATATTTCTTTTTTAACAGTGCGCCAAAATGGAAAAAGGGAAACCAAGTGTCTGCTAGTAGGATGTGAACATAAAATTATACTCTCACGATATTAAAAGTTCCATCCAATAAGAACTTTCGCCTCCCATCACTGCGTGAACTTGATCCTTTCCCCAATATTTTGCATTCTCTTAGGGTCCAAAGGTTCTTGTTTTCTCTCCTCATACGCCTTTTTTTTCAAATTCCAATCCGCTTTCAGCGTCACATATCTATCTGGCAGTCTCTTCTCAAGCCTTTCATCGTCTTTTAAGCCCTACATCGTCCAAAATTAAGTCACGCGTCCTGTCGTAGGGTTTAGTTAAAATTGTTGTATTTTCTTTAAAACACAGCGCCAACAAGTCTTTTTATATACCTCGGAATCGTTTCAAGAAACCACCTGACATACACTGGATTGTATTCTTATCGTCCTTTGGTTCTTGTACCCTCCTTAAACACCAGTGTTTCCAAACTATGATTTAAGACAAACCTCCAGGGATTTGCCGGCTCCAAAACTGCCGCCCGGGATGCCTGACACAATCCGCTATCAAATTAAAGGCAGTTCTGCCAACTAATATTAAGATTTCTGTCCTTCAAAAATGATCTAACGATGAGTGGAAGGCTCTACTTGGTTACTTTTCTTAACCTGACCGATTAGTCTTCTAAACTCTTTCTTTATGTCTCTTTTGAAAAAGGCATAAGCCAGCGGGTTAATGGCCGAGTTTAAAACCAAGAAAGGAATTTTGTAGTTTCATCATTACATCGTGATGAGGATAGTGTTAGAAAACTACAACACAGATGAATACCATAGCAAACAAGAAACACTGCTATCACAAGACCCATCATTATTACTGCAGACCTGTCGTGCTGGATTTTAAAGGACATCTGATGGTTAAAACGTAACTGTTTCGCCAAGGTGCGTGCTGACTGTTCATGCCTGCATACATGAAATATCATCGATACAAAGCAGAGTATTAATACAACACACGGAAGAAACTTTGAAACTATGGTCAGGCAAGTAAAAAGGACAGGTATTGTTTTGAAATAAAACAATTGAAGGGTATCCTTTAGCGCATTATAACTAACTGTTAAAACCCAAGAGAAGAAAATAACTTGAATAATTCGACGGCGAGTCATCAAAGTAATGTATTTTAGAGGATGGAACAACCATCTTATAAAATTCACCCAAGATCCCAAATGTTGAGGCCAGTAGCAGGTGTTTGTAACGTCGCATGCGAACAGAGAAGGAATAACGCTCAAACCCACACAAAAATCCGCTACTGCAAGTGAAACAATAAACGCGTTGGTTTTGGTGCGGAGATTTCGTCTGCTGCAGACGAGGAAGATTGTAAATCCATTTCCAAGGATGGTCAGGAATGAAAGAACCCAGCCAAGGATCCAAAACCAGGTCTCCATCTTAGCAGTTAAAGGAAGTTTCTATCAACTATTGATTATAACCAACAAATATCAGGGCCACATTAAATAAGTGCTATAGTATTAGTTCTTGAAATCGTCTTTATTTGTTATGACAAAGGTGTTAATTGATGCCATAAAAATTTGTATTGGACTAAGCTATGACAATTGAAGAAAAATAAAAGAAAAAAGAAAAATAACTACCTAACTTGTTTGTGTGTTTATTAATTAGAAATTAATTATAAACAAGGAAAATAGGTACAAAATGTTCTAGTAAATTCTAGGAACCTACTTAATTGTTGCGGTAAAATTATTCTTTTTCTTATCGCTTAATTTCGAAGAGTTTACTATGAAGCGTTTTGTTTAATATACCGTCCCAGCGTTGGACATTTCGTCTACTGCCTGATCATGAGCAACCAATCAATACTGAGTTTTTGCCACGAATTCAAAAACTCACTATATATTCATAAAGAAAAAACAATGTCATTATTTTATGGTTGTCATAATGAATTTTAATTATGGGTAGGATCCATCAGCCACGAGTCAAGACACGTAAAATTGCAACAAGCATTGTTTACTTTCTCTAAATGATAAATTTGGGTAAGAAAAAAACTTACGCTTTTTTGACGTTTATTACGACTAACGATTAAAAGTTTCGACCTTTACTTCTGACGACTGAAATTGGTGACTCTTTTACGGCTAACGGCTAATCCCATCGAGACCCTCCTAAAAGTAGCAGCATGTATTTATCTTCCCTTTCTTTTCAATTGATTCGCTCAAGGTTGAATCCTGTTGCTAATATATCATTCAAAATATTTCTTACAGTAGACAAGGGCACTACAACCGAGAAGCCCTGGGACCAGGTTTCGCGAAGAAAAACTAGTCGGTACTAAGTACTTCCTAAAACATAGCGAGGGCAGCAAAAAGAAAAATCCACAGATCACAAATGCTATTTAAAGAATGTATGGTGGACTAAAGGTTTAAATTATCCAGTATTTACCGAGGAATAAACAAATGAAGACAGAAACCTTACGGCATCGATCAGGGTAAGCATAGGTAGTTTATGTCTAGACGTATGAATAATTTTGAATGAATAATGAGAAAATTATTTATTTCGATCTCCTTTCGTATGATAAGAAGAATTATTCAGATCTACTCAGCCTCGTTCAACAACTCCTGATTATTTTTCAGCTGTCAGCTAAAAATTTTGACCAATTCCCGGCTGCCATATAACCAATCCCAGAAGCTCCTTAGTTTTTCTGAATTTAATCTAAAGAATTTGTTAACGATGAGCGTTAATGACACAGTTTTTAGCTGACAACAGGAGGACACGATCCATTTTATCTTATATTACTTTTGCTATCGTTAGCCTCAGCAATAAGAGAAGAAAGGGATGTAAACAAGACGCTGCAAGCAGCGTTTACTCGGGCTTGCTACTAAGTGCTATCAGCCTGAAACTCATACGGGGTTTAAACGTATAACTCGCGTTCAATGCTCGTGAATATTCACTTTTACCATATTTGGAAACTTTCGTGAAGGAGATCGTTTTTCAATAAAATAGCTGCCGTGCGATCACCATGCGGTGGTTTTAAGACCAGAGTTCTGCATTTCAGGGTTAAAAGTACACCGTTAAAAGACAAAAAATGGAAAGAGAACATTCAAAAAAATGCTTTTTTTTCTTTTTGTGGAGAAAGGGAAGCTTTTCATCAAGAAATTGTCTTTTTGTTTTCTTCACGGCAGAGCGCATGGTCTGTTTTGAAATTCAAGTGAGGTAGCGAAGTTTTTGTTGAATTTTCAGGTACATTTTGCTCTCTATGGCCAAGAAAATTACTTTTTTGAAAGGGAATTTATGTATTCATAAATGTTTCAAAGACGTTTTATACATTTTTTCGTCGGCGTTAAAGAAAAATTACGAAATTCTGAATGCGCCCCGATTTGAGATGGATTTTGTGTTGAATTGTGCCATGTGCTCAGACGATTTTACTTGCGTACGTGAACGGATCCACGATCCAGATAGTGTTACGCAACTTGCTTTAAGGAATTAACTTTTTGGATTTTGAATAAAAATTTTCAAGAAGCGGCTTCTCTGTCTAATGTTTTTAGTTTGTTCATTCATAAAATTAGCTCAAAACTCGATCGTGATACTTCAGCATCCAAGCTGAATTTAAGCTTAATGCTTGTGAACATTATAACCCACATTGCACCCATCACTTTTGGAGAACTTTATACAATTTTTTCTTTCAGGTTCAGTTTTTGGACACTTTTCGGATACGCAGCTAATGATATAAGTTTACTGCGCAGAGGGTCACCGAGGTAAGTGACAACTTCAAGAAGTCGCGTGGTCGACAATGGCCCGGGTGGTATGCCATAGGCCACTTCCGAGTTCTAAAAACCCTCACTTTCAAGTGTACAACCTTTCTTGTGAAAATGAGTTTTATTTGGATGAGAATGAAACATTATTTCCATATCAAAGGCTGAGCACTTAACCTCGTTTTGATACAGAGGCCCAGGAGAACTCGGAAATGGCCTATTTCTTGCTCAGTATTTCGGTAAGCTTCCTGGTTCAACCTTTGAAAGCTTACTCGGCTTTTGGGAGTTTTTTCCCCTGTTTGTCAGCCATTTTTTTAAGCGGGCGCGAGAACATGAAGTAAAATTACGTCACGTCGTTTACGAAGTTTGGTTGGTCAGTTCATGATCTCGAAACTGAATAATCACTGGCATCGGACAAAGCAAACATATGAGAGTTACACGTTTCAACCCGTTATGGGATTCTGGTGCTATGTAATAAGAAATTCAGTATTTTCATTCTAAGTATAGACACCAATGGTATGATTGGTACCAATGGAAAAGCACCCTTTTCCAATGGTTCTATTAGTGAATATGCATCTCATTAAAGAAACTTAGATTATTTTCTCATGTTGTCTAGCTGGGTACAGGGCAATTCCAATGGTCCATTGGTACCAATGGTACGATTGGTACCAATACAAAAGCACCCTATTCCAATAGTTCTATTGGTGAATATGCATCTCATATTCATTATTATTAGCACGTTTTTACTTGGTGTAAAAGCGAACTTGTTTTGCGTGGTTTTCTTATAGAACGAGGGACGTTCATAATAATTATTAGCGCGTTTTTACTTGGTGTAAAAGTGAACTTGTTTTGCACCAATAGAACCATTGGAATAGCATCATTTTCCATTGGTACCAATCGTACCATTGGTACCAATGGGCCATTGGAATTGCCCTGTACCCAACCAGGTTACATGGGAAAATTATCTAAGTCCCCTAAATGAGATGCATATTCACCAATAGAACCATTGGAATAGGGTGCTTTTCTATTGGTACCAATCGTACCATTGGTACCAATGGACCATCAGTTTGACGAATCGTATCCGTAGTTGTATATTGGACATGTGTGGACAAAACACCCAGGATTGAGATAAACCATGCAGTCTGCGCGTTGAGCTTAATCTTATTGTGGATTAATTGTAACCCAATTCCGAGTTGTTGAATTGTTCCCATGCATTGTTTCAAAGAGTAGCCAGCTGCCAGTTTATTTAAGGTGGCACGAGAAGGTTTTTCAGGGACAATACCTCCCAAGTTTGAACATAAACTACGTCGCCAACAACAAGGATTTGGAAAAATTACCACTATATCTGTATTACATAAAGATAGAAATCCTCGGTCGCGGGAAATTTGACCTTGGACTAACGCCCTGTGTCCACTCTCAAAATCACAGCGTCTGCCGAAAGAAGGTATTTTGAACATGGCACGAGAAAATGCTCATTTTCAGCAACATTGATGGGGATATTTCGCTTTTAAACGTTCACTGAGGTGTAGACTGCAAAACAGTCGTTTTTGTCTGAAAATCAGTAAAGAAATCGGTAAAGCGTGGGGTAAGAATCTCTTCCAGCCTCGTCCGGACATTTTGTTTGACTGCTAGTGCGTAGTTGAAAACGCAAGAACACGGACTGTTTTGCAGTCTAACTGAGGTGTAGCAATGATAGAACTTTGCCTCTGGTCGAAAAAATCTGCGATTTGATGGGGTTTCCGGCCGCAAACCGCTGGACCGCCCGCTGTTTTTCTGTGCGGCCCTTACTTCGTCTTATGAAGGGAGTGACAGAGGTCACACAATAACAGCCAAAAAAAACGACTAAATCGATGAATTCAAACCAAAAACACAGGAATACATCAAAGGTAAGTCCCCTTTATTTATTTTAGAGAAAAATACAAAGGATCAAGGGTCGCCTGTAACGCGGCACCGACTCTTTTGTGAGAAAGAAAATTTACATTCCACACTCGTAACGTGAGCTTGGGACGCCTGTGGACCTACATATTAGATAGTAATAGCTGACACTACAGCTGCCCCCGCTCTGTATGTTGTCGGTCAATAGTATTCTTGTTCTTTGTGCAACTCTTTGAAATATACCGCTTCGTTAAAAAAATGAAGATTTTCACACAAATTCCATACAATAGGTGAGATAAAAACAGGACACGCAAGTTTCCATGCACTGATGGCAGTTCGATTAACACAGCTTTTATCAAAACATTCTCAGTTTCGAGAATATTTCTTTCTAAACCATAAGAAAAGATTTGACTGGAAGTTTTCGCAATTCATCATTCACATTTTACAGACAGTTCATTTTATTAGCCGGAAAGTAAGCCTAATTAGATATATAAAAGATTTGATCAATTTAAGCTCGCGCGTTCTAGTCATTTCATTTTTAACTATTAAGACAATACTTTAAAAAGACTTTACAGAGTGCCATTTGTGAGCAGGGAATACGTCAGCACAGAATTTAAGTGTCGGCGAATTTCTGTAATCGTCCAGCGTTCTGCTAGTGATAAGCTAGCCGATGTGGACAAAAGGACTAATGAACTAGCGATGGTGATGAAAGACATTCGTGCGTGAAGGGACTCATTCGAGCCCTGATTGGATGAAGTGTGATGGACATTTGCATGGACCGAGATTAAAAACTCTAGTGTTAAAAAAATATAAGTCAG